CAGTACAGACAGTTTGATACAATGTACTTCCCTTGGAGTGATGGAATAGCTGTGGTAGCCAGATCCTACCACTTACCCATGGGACATATGTAATGTAGCAGCCCCACTGAGGTTGTGTTCTCTTTACTCCATGACCTGAAGTGCACATCCCCCTTTCTACCTTACACTACTGTATAATCATGACACAAGCTGGCCCAGGAAAAGGGCCTCTTGGCTCCAATAGGACATTTTCCAGAGGAAGGTTTTTCTTAGCATAACTTATTTTAGAATAATCTTATAACCCCAACCATCCTTTCAGAAATGGAGGCTGAGATTTTCCAAGCTCTGTAAGGGATTTGGTTTCCCAGTTCCTATTAGCTCAGCCACAGTATCCTTACTTTATTTTATTTTTAGAGGATCTCAATGGTGCTCAGAGGAATTCCCCCTGCAGGGCAGAGAGAATCCACAAAATTGTGCTGGAGTAGCTCCTTTAACATCAGTGGAGTGACTCTGGATTTACCTTGATGTAACTGAGGTCAGGATCTGTGTTGCAGGGTAGACACACCCAGTCACTCTTTGGAGTGGAGCGGGGCTGTGGCATCCCACAGTCGATGTCTAAGGGTCAGCCCTTAGGCTTCTACAGTGTGGCATAAAGGCTAGAGTCGCTATCTCTGTCCTGAGAGTCAGAGAGTACAGCCCAACGGCCAGAGTCAATAGCACTGCCCAAGGATTGAGGCAGTACAGCCCAATGGCCAGAGTCAGTAGCACTGCCCGGGAGTTCGGGGTAGTAATTCCCAATGGTCGTAGTCAGAAGCACTGCCCAAGGGTTTGGGACAGTAAGGCCCAATGGCTGGAGTCAGTAGCACTGCTCGAGGGTTCGGGGAAATAAGGCATAAGAGCCAGCACTGGAGGGCCACCACCAAGGGGGCAACAGCGGGGATAGGGGGACCCGGACCCTCCCTACTCCACCAGTTCCCAGCCCAGGGCCCTGTTAGTGGTGAGTGGGTTCACCACTGGGTCAGCTGGAATTCTACCACAATACGCAAACTCGGCCTGGGAGTTGGGGCTAATCTCCTTCCCTGGGCTACTTCCTACCCCATCTCCTGTGGTGGCAGTACATGGTCCAGCAGGGCTTTCTGGTCCCTCAGCATGTGCAGCTCCTGGGTGGGCAGCCATAGGCTCTGGGGCTCCTCCTAGGTTCTCTGGGTCTGTGGTTCTCCCAGTCGTAGGCTGAGATGATTCCGGGGCTGGAACCTCCACCAGGCTTCCTTCGTCCTTGACGGTCAGCCTAGAATGAACTGGGCTGCTCCCTTTTGTACAAAGGCAGCAGTTGGAGTATGCCCGACTTCCTCCGTCCATAATGTAGGATTAGCTGAATCTCTAGTGCAGGGTAGACACACGCCATCACAATCTGCCTCACTGAATGGTGCCTTTCTAATTTAGAAAAATAGAGAAGCCTCCATAAATGTAGAAGAAAATCTTGGTGCCTGAGTATAGGGATTTTTTTTTTGAGTTAAACTCCTGAGCATCCCTTTCACCTCTTTGTTCCTCAGGCTGTAGATGATGGGGTTTAGCATAGGGTCACGGTGCTCCACACCAGAGCAATAAGTTTTTCATCATTTGGTGAGTGGCTTAATCTGGCTTTCATGTACATGGTGCAGTCCGTCCCATAGAAAAGAGTCACCTCCAATAAGTGTGAAGAGAAGCTGGAGAAAGTTTTCTGCCCACCCTCAGTTGATGGCATCTTCAGGATGGTCGAGATGATACGAGCGTAGGACACAAGGATGAGCATGAACGGCAGCAGGACAGAGAAGAGGGCAAACAAGAGAATTGTGATTTCAGTCCTATGGGTGTCCTCGTAGGCCATTTCCATCACTGGGGGAACATCACATAAGAAATGGGTGATTTCATTAGAGCTGCGGAAGGGTAAGGTGAATATGTTCGCAATGTGACCCATTAACACCAGGAGGCTGGTGACCCAGGAAGCAGCCGCAAGCCCCACATAGGCCCTCCTGTTCATAAGGACTGGGTAAGGCAGTGGGTGGCATATAGTAACATATCGATCATAGGCCATCAGAGCAAGGAGGTGACACTCCAGCCCCCTTAGGAAGAGGAGGAAATATGTCTGTGTAAAACAGCTGAGGAAGGAGATGGTTTTATCCTCTGAGAGGGGGTTGGCCAGTATCTTGGGCAGGGTTACCAAGGTGTAAAAGATCTCCAGGAAGGACAAGTTCCTGAGAAAGAAATACATGGGAGTGCAAAGGGCAGTGTCGGCCATAGTGATGAGGATGATCATCAGAAGATTCCCAGTCAGAGGAATGAGATAACTAGATAGAAAAACCACAAATAGCACACAGCTCAACTCAGGGTGGATGGCAAATCTCAAGAGGATGAAATGGGTCACCAAGATGTGATTCCCTGTGGTCATTCTTGTAATAGACTCTGTCCTGAGGGAAAAAATAGCTAAATAAAGACGTGAGGCTGCATAACGTGTGAGTTTCCAATTCTTTTCAATGACCCATGGTAAAGAAGATAGATCCTGAACACTGCTTAGCCTAGAAATTGTCCTACCTCAAATTTCATTCCCTGCACCTCTTACCTCCAGGTAGCATCAGACCAAATTCTGGTGTCTTTACTCATACTGAATGATATTTTCCTCCAGCAGTAAGGAATACATGAGAAAGGAATCAAATTGTTTGAATTTACCAATGAACCCTCCAGGCCTAAGATTTGTTTCTTACAGCACATTTTCTCTTCTCTAACATCTATTGCTCTGTGATATGACCATCTGTCTGGAAACTAAAGTGAAGCTGCATATTCCTAAACTCATGAGTCCATAGATTTTAAGTCCAGAAAAATCATTATTATCATCTAGTCTGACCTCCTGTATAACAGGCCATTTACTTTTACCCAGAAATAGCTGCATCAAGCCCATAACTTCTGGATGAGCTAGCTCACATCACTTTGAAAGACATCCATTCTTGAATTAAAAACTCGAGGTCATAGAGAATCCATAAGGAAGTTGTTCCAAGAGTTAAATGCCCTCCATTATTAAAATTTTATGTCTTATTTACAGGTTGAACTTTTATTATTTCACCTTCCAGCCATTAGATTTTGTTATAACTTTATCTGCTAGATTAAAGAGACCTGTAGCATCAGATATATCTTCTCCCCCTGTACACTGAGTAGACTTGTAGACTATGATCAGGTCACATCTTGATAAACTCAATAGAATGAGCGGCCTAAGGCTTTCTTCAAAATATGGTCTCTTCCTTGCTCCTTTTGCATGGGCTAGTGATTGCAACTGTGGGCTTCTCAATGACTGCAAGAGATGCTAACTTCTGTCTGGGGAAAAAATCAGTCCACTGAAGAGAATGTAGTTCCAATGGTGTAAATCAGGAGTATTCAAGGTAGCAGAGTAATAGCAGTGTTCATCTGGAGTAACTGTACTAATGTCTATGAAGATACAAAAAATTTACACTGATGTAGCAGTGTAACTCAGAACAGAATTTGGCACACCAAGAATGTTCCTTTTCACTTCAACAGGAAAGGAACTTGGCACTAGAATTGTTCGTAGCCCTCTTGAAATGCAGATCTGCCTCACCTTCTTCTGGAGCATGTGGACTGGCCTCTTTGAGGATAAAAGTCTGTGTGCAGAATGAGCAGATTTTTTTTTAAATTCAGTGCCCCCTTGTGACCTTGTCAGGATTGCCCACCACATTCTGAACTCTGGGGTACAGATGTGGGAACCCCCATGGAAGACCCCTCAAGTTTATATTTTACCAACTTAGGTTAAAACTTCCCCAAGGCACAAATACCTTTCCTTGTCCTTGGATGGTATTGCTGCCACCACCAAGTGATTTACACAAAAATTCAGGGAAGGGTCACTTGGAATCCCTAACCCCCAAAAATATCCTCCCAAGCCCCTTCACCCCCTTTCCGGGAGAGGCTTGAGAATAATATCCCAATCAATTGCCTTAGCAATATGAGCACAGACCAGACCCTTTGTCTTCAGGACACTGAAATCAATCAGGTTCTTAAAAGAAGAACTTTATTTATAAAGAAAAAAAATAAAAGAATCACACCTGCAAAATCAGGATGGAAGGTACTTTATAGGGTAATAAAACATTTAAAACACAGAGGATTCCCCTCTGGGCTCAGCTTCAAAGTTACAAAAATATGAATAAAACTACCTCTGTAGCATAGGAAAATTCACAAGCAAAAACAAAAGATAACCTAATGCATTTCCTTGCCCTATTTACAATTTCTGTGGTTTTAGATGGATTATTCCATGTATATTTTCAAGAGATGTACCTGCTTGGTTTCTCCCTCTGTCTGGAGAGGGAACAACAAAAGAGAACAACAAACAAACCCTCCCCGAACCCCAGATTTGAAAGTATCTTCTTTTCTCATTGGTCCTTCTGGTTAGGTGCCAATTAGGCTATTTGAACTACTTAACCCCTTACTGGTAAGGAAGTGGCTACCCTTCCCTCTATTTTCATGACAGACCTCATCAGCATGTCAAACTATGAACCAAGCACAGAATACAAAGTAACATGGATGTGCTTCTTGGTATGTTATACAGATGGTTAGTCTATCTCTCCATACATCATCTCTGTCTGTCTGTCTCTCTCTCTTGTTTATCAGCATGTATCTTAGCATTCACAAGAAAGGGAACAGAACTAGATGTAATTGGCCTATGGGATTTCTAGTCAAATATTATTTGGGGTCTGAGGAGTTTACAGGGAAAGAGGCAACCCAGGTGTCTCTTGACTGCTGGAGGCAGGAGCTATCCTGCATGTTGAACTGAACCCCACAATCCATATGGGCAAAGTGGGGTATGCAGAATCACTTTCTCGAATCCCAGCTCTTACAAAGTGTTCCAGTGGAAGAAGAGAGGGGATGAGCACTGGCTGTCTCCTCCCTAGTACCTAGTCCAGACATTCACACCTATGTAAGATGAGTATAAGAGAGGAAAAATTCTACGCCTACTTTGAATCAGACAGATTCTGCATTCACGGGAATAAATCAGGAGTTACTCCACTGAAATGAATGAGGTTACATCAGTGTAAAACTGGTGGTGTCCTGATGGGCCAGTTTTCAACCTTTATTGGTTGGTGGAGATCTTTTGCTAGAAACATTTTTAGATGAAAATGAGCAAAATGTCTGTTGTCAGCGATTTTGCGGGGATTTTTATAATGAAAAATATATTAAAGCACAAATACATTTTGGTCAAAGAGCATGGGGACATTTGAAGAAAAAATTGTTGAAAATAAATACATTTTTTTGTTTTTGTCAAGGTTTAAAATTTCCCAACTAGCTCTGTTCACAATGACTACTGCCATACTCCACATGAAGCCCCTCTGGACCAGACAGTTAGTGGAAATCAAAGTGTATGCATTAACTTCACTGGGACTACAATGATTTACCCCACCTGGGTATCTGACTCAGCCAGTCAATGTGGTAGAATCTTATCCTAAGAGTATCAAGGAAACTTGGTCTCAATCACACTTCATTACGGAAGTGAATGGAGTTCCTGCTGGATTTGCAAGCAGAGTTTGGTTTGCTGTGATAAAACCATTTTGATCAGGGGAATTATGACTGACAAGACTCTTCTCTTCCTCGCTCTGTTTCCTTCTAAATTCTTTCTTTGTTTCTTCCATCAGTGACAGATGAGGGCAGAGGTTGTGTTAGTGGTGTGTTTGAATATTCTGCGCTAGATTTTCAGCTGTTGCACACTGGCATAACTTCAGTCACTATAATGGAGCTACACTAATTTACACCAACTGGGGATTGAGTCCTCTGACTCCAGTAGGGCTGTGGCTGATTTATACCATCTCGGGATCTGGGTCATTGCCTCCAATGAAGCAACACTGATTTCTACCAGTTCAGGTTCTGGTCCCAAATGGGGTATATGGTTTGAGTCTCCTCTTTTACAATAATGTATATCATTAGAAACTCCAGAGGAGTCATTGGAGTCATACTGGTCAAAAACTGGAGGATGCACAAAGATAATTTGGCTCCTGATTAGGACTAGGTGAAAACTTTTTTTGATGAAAAATAAAGTTTTTTGTCTAAATCAAAATGTAACCTTTTTTGTGGCAAGCTGATCCCAAAGGGTAGTGGAGTTCCTTATTCCTCCCTCTTTATGTGCTTAGTGACCCACCTTAGGACCAGTGATGTCTGGATTATTTTTGCTGGATACCGCCTTTTAGTGACTGGGTACATAAACTAATATACATCCCCTATGACATCTAGGACATTACAGAAAATCAAGGACTAACAGATAAGGATAAGCAATGATGTATTCCTGGAAAGGAAGTGATAAGATTAAGAAGGAAAAGAGGGCAGGAAAGAAGGACAAATGAAAGAAAACGAAAATAACAACATGAAAACAGCGGGATGAATAACTGATTTTTCTGTTCACTGGCAATTCTATTTTTTTAAATCGGTTTGTGTCAAAAGTTTGAAAACTATTTCATTCAACCAAAAAAAAAAAGTATTGTATTTTGGGGCACCTTTTCACATAAAAGCAAAGGAAATGAAGGGCTAGATTCACAAAATGGATAGAGCATGCCAAGTGCATAATTTTTATCCCAGTGGTTAGCGCACCCACCTGAGCTATGAGAGACCTGTGTTCATTTCCCCCTCTGCCCGATGGGGACCAGGGATTTGAATTTGGTGATCTTAGAAGAATGACCTAGCCACTGGTCTACAGGATACGCTACTGTGGAGCCTGTTGTGACTATTAGGCTATAAAGCGCACCCTATTGTGACTTCAAATGTTAAAAAGAATGTGAAAGTTCATAATTTGTTACAATAACTATGGAAAACTCTGTATGTTATAAACAGGTGCAAGAGAATGAGACAGAGAAACTGGATTAGTCTAAACCAAAAAGGCCATGTTGATATAATCGAAGAACTGTTGAAATTGTGTTTGTTAAAAACAGAAAATGTGGAAACTGGATTAGTCTAAACCAAAAAGGCCATGTTGATATAATCGAAGAACTGTTGAAATTGTGTTTGTTAAAAACAGAAAATGTGGAGCCAGAAGTTCATAGACCAAAACTGGTGGACAAAATAATGAGGGGGGTGAACTATGCCACCCATTCCCCCCCTGTGGGGGTTTCCAGCTCGTCTCGTCTCATCTCATCTTGACTCATCTAAAAGACTTTCTTCCTGAGAGGAAGGCCGGTTGGTCTTGTTCTTGTTTAAAGAACTTGGTTCTCACCTGTGAGTGCTGAAAGTCAGCACATTATCATGACATTCAGTCTCCAG